TTTTCACAATTATACGCTGAATGTAAATGGGAAATGCGAGAAATGACCGAGACACTTTATAAATAGAATAAAGGAGACACAGCCATTCATCCTTTTGTGATTCGTGGCTTCAATGACGATAAAAATGTAGAGTCTTGCCTTCCTTTCACATAAGAAGACCCTGTAGTCTCGACAAATGCTTCCTAACATTTCGCAGGAACCTGCTGTGCTATGCATGAGTGGTAATACAGAAGGGTTTGGGCTCGTAATTTGATTTATTGAACACTTGCAGATCTTAACTACAAATAACTATAGCACTATCGCCAATTGACACACTCAGTAGTTCATTACAGAACGTATTATGTCTTCTCAGTCTGTTGTGTCTTCGCCAGTCGTTGCCTGGTGACCGCTTTCAACGCCGTAGATCCGTCAATTTCCGTGTTCACGTCCGTGCTGGCTGGCGACTGTCTCACACCACCCTTCTACTCTCCTGACTTGCTCACTGTCGTGTCAAGACTCTGAACTCTCAACTAACTAATTCACTCACCAACCAACCCACTTCACTCTACCGCACTCCTTGTGTAGTCTCGGCACGGGCCGCATAGAAAACACCTCTCCGAATATTTCCTCTATTGTTGCGTGGCGTCTCAAGCCGACTACTGCCTAGCAATGTCCGTTGTTTACAGTCATTACTTAACAATGGGTCTACATACTACGATATAAAAGCAACACGGAGAGCTTTGCTTGTCACCTGACCCATACTGGTATCTTGCTCGGCTTACCCTTCGACCCTGAAGATGAAGACAAGTTCCTCCGAAGCGTCGGTTGACTTTCACCTGACTGCATGGTGCTATATCCAAGAAGATAGAACTGTTGATGGCGGTATGCTTTTCAAAAACGCTGGCAATCACTTACAAGACTACACGGAGTCGTAAACCACAAGACAATCTAAACTTCTGCGGTCGTGAAAACCTCGAAGCCACAATTTATGACGACTGAAATATCTTGCAGGAATCACATACGCTCTCTCAGACAATAGAGAACTGCCTAATCGTGTTGTAATGAACCAAACACTGTCGTAAATATTTAAAAAAAAATAATTTTAATGAAATTTTCATAATAGTCTTCTGGGTTATGACAGCGAACATGAAAATGGAGTTAGGAGGTTCCTTCGAAATGATGGTAACCATCTACCAGACCACAATGTGCCAAACCCGGAAGACCACACCTGAACTCTTCAGTCATGAAATCCTCAGATCTCTAATTCATAACACGTGCACATGTTAAGTTCATCTTACCGTAAAGAGGCATCTCTGAGTTGATATTTTAAATGCGCTACGATTACAGACCTAGTCAGAATTCTTGGCAGCCTATGATTCTTTAAATTCCATTCACGGGGCGAAGACTGGAGAGGAAACAAACCGTGAAACACGGCGATTCTATCGCTGGCTCTTATGGTACAGATAACGCTGATGAACACACGTAACGTGTTCGACTGATTTGAAAGGGCCAACTGAACGGGATACAGCAATCCATTCCAAAAACAAAACATTCAAACATGAAAGAGACTGTTATAGTTGAATTACTCTTAGGCGAACTAACAAAGGGCGTTTATCTGATCTGAAAGAACCATCTGGCGCCGAAGCAAATTTATATAAAACACGCTTCTATACAGTAACTTGGATTACAATGCAGCGCGTTCAACAGGCTCCGAAACACAAGTACAAATATCGGGGTACACGGATTTGGAATTATGTTCCGTACTCGGAGGGCTCTAGGTTCGATTTTCGCCATAAGACAGACTAGTTGCAAAAATTTAGTCTTAAAAGAACGAAGTCCGTTTCTCTTCACCAGCCTTTTTAACGTACCAGTCAGCTACCCTCTCATTCGATGGTATATAACTTATTCAGGTTGGAAAAGCACAGTTAATATATTATTATTAATAATATTTGAAATTAGGTTATTAAGTTGCCGTCATAACGGTAAAGTTATTTTGAGCCTTGTATCTCAGAAAGTCAAAGTTTCTGGTTAAGTCACGAGGCACGCAGTAGGCACAATATCCTTTAGCTTATAGTTTATATTCGACTATAGATTACGTAAGGGTTCACCATTTTTAGAAAAAAAAAATCCCCTCCTGACTTTAAAGTTGGTCCAATAAACGGTCTGTTTCCGCCTTGGGATTTATTATATGACGGTCCTGTTATTGGTTCGCCTTCTGAGGGTGCAGTCAATAAACCGTTTTGGGTGTCAAAACGTCTGCTGATTAGCACACGAAAATTTTCTATGCTGCCTTTACGAGCGAACTAATTTTCCTTGCCACATTCTGAAGGGAATTTTAACTAAAATATTTCGAACACATGTAAAAATCGTTCATATATTTTACACTCAGTTTCCTGAGCGTAAAGTAAAAGTAAAAAAGTAAAGCTATCCCTGTAACAGGCCGTGAAGGCCCACAGGGTTGTGAGACGTTGAGGGTCCCACATTATCTAGACAATCGGCTCACAGATGGCGGTAAGGTTGTCAGCCTTACGCGCCGGCCGCGATTTACTCCCCAGGAAAATTATTTAATTAATTCCTGGTACACATTTCTGTTAGAAGCTGAGTCGACCCCAGGGCCATAGTGCGGCCGGAAGGATTAGGTCAATTGAAAAAAATCCAATGACCTCATCGGGACTTGAACCCGCGACCTTCCGGCTTGTAGCATAGTGCAGTATCCTGAACGCTCAGAAGATACTCTCAAGAGTGGAATAGAAACTGGGAACACCTTACATCCCATAGTATAGTCTTCTGACATATCACAGCGTTGTCTGGCAGTTTGTTACCAACATTAGGCCGTCAGTTCTTGCCAAACATTGGTAACTACCTATAATATTAGCTGCCTTAACACAGGCGACAGGTATATGAACATTAGCCGCTACAAAAACATCAAACTCCACATGCTTATTTGAAATGTTATCACCTCTGACGATTTTTGTAAGCTGTAATACAGCTTGTGACCGCATCTAAGCACTGCTTTTGTTAAGCTAACTTAGCTCAACTAATTCCATCACTGTAGAAGGCATAACCGTGAACTCTGTTTCATTCTGACAGGAAATCAACGTTTAAAAATGGGTACAACAAAAGGAAACAAAGAAAATAAAAAAATATATAAATATGTTGTTAATCGAAATTTTTTAGTTTAATCACCGGTCAGTGTTTCTCTTCGCCACTGCGCCCAGAGCAGCTCTTCAGCCCACAAAGCTTTCTATTCATCGGGTACCGGGGGCAGTTCCCCGAGCGGAAATGCGGTCGGGACGTGAAGGTGACCAAACATGTCCTAGTCCTGTCTGGAGCTATGTCTCCAATACCCCATACACGACTTTTTGGTGTGATAATTAAGCAGAAGGCTAACTTCAGACTTTACGTTATCTATCATGTCTCGTCTAACACCGTTTCATTAGAATGAAGCTTCATCTATACCGTATCAGATGCGTTTCCTTCTTCTTAGGGCCTTGATACTGCTGCCTCAAAGGGGGTGGTCCCGGATTAATACAGAGGACTATACAACACTGCCATCGTGAAACCGAAGAACTCGGGAAAAGGACAGATGAACGATGAACTGAAAAAGGATCTGAAAGGAAGCGGTCGTGGCCTAATCGAGGTACTATCCTAGCATCTGTCTGGAGGGAATGGGGGAAATCACGTAAATTCCTAGCCGAGATCAATACCGAGCAATTCCGAATACAAATCCACTGCGGGGTCCCTAGACCAAATTGTTCGTTCCCTGCGGTACTCTTTTAACAACAAAAATCGAACATGGGGTGCCCTGGTGCTTATTTTGAGCCTTCACGAGGAGAAATTTATCTCAAGTACAACAGCTTCCTAAATTGCAGCTGAGCCCTTCTTGAGAAGCCGCCAGTTGTGCAGCTCCTCAAGAACTTCCAAGTATTTTATGGAAGGCGAAGGTTCATTACCGTGTTCACAAGAGCCTCCCACCTGTTCCTATCCTGAGCCAGATCAATCCAGTCCATACCATCCCATCCTATCTTTCTAAGATCCAATTTAATATTTTACACCCACCTACCCCTTGGTCTCTTTCCTTCTGGCTTTCCTACCAATATCCCCAATTCGTTCTACATGCCCTGCCCATCTCATCCTCCTTGACTTGATCATTTTAACTATACTTGCAGAAGAATACAAGTAATGAAGCTCCTCATTATGTAGTTTTCTCCATCCTCCTGTCACTTCATCTCTCTTCGGTCCAGATATTCTCCTCAACGCCCTGTTCTCAAACACCCTCAGTCTATGTTGCTCCCTTAATGTCACAGACCAAGTTTCACACCGATACAGAACCACAGGAAAAATTATAGTCTTGTATATTGTAATTTTATGTTTTTAGACAGCAGAAGTGAATACAAAACGTTCTGGACTGAATGGACACATCTATCAAGTAAACTATTAAATTGTTTGTTTATTTATTTATTTATTTATTTATGAGTTCATGGTCCTTTCAACAGCTCAGTTTATGCAATGTCAAATGAAAAAAGGCAAGATCTAAAGCTTTCCCGACGGCTAAGTCGATAAAATGTTCTCAGGCCAACAGCCGTGTCTGTTGGTAAAAAATTACCGATGTTTCGGGATACATCTGTGCCGCCGTCATCACTATCTGACCACCCCGAGATGATTTCATCAAATGACAGATGTTCAGTGAATCATGAATTGGTAAGGATGCAGAAGCATGTGTTCGTGGTAGGGCCGATAAAACAACGAAAATAGTGTCACAACAGCTGGTCTCCGAGGTCTGAACCCGAGACACTTCAAATGTGAATCAATGGCGTTACCCATTCTACCGCAATGTAAATTATACTGAGCATGAATTACTGTTAAACGACTATGGATTACTACATCTCAATTAATTTGGCTGTTACGATAGGCCTATAGTCCGAAAGGAAACCGGTGGGACGCAGGCTTTCTCGTGCTGCCCCTATTAGACCTGCCACCAACGCAACATCGCGCAGCAGAGAACAAATGACAGTACTCACCCATCGTGGAACTCTGGAGACCGTGGCGACGTAGCCCCGTTATTGTAACGGTAGTCCCTCGTCGGCGACACCCCAGACAAGTCACCGTCAACAAACTCCTCTGGTGGCGACGGCTGTGCCGATGATATGAGGGATGACTGCCTCAGCGTCGTCGTAGAGGACACTGGGGATCCCTTCGGAGTCCCGGCGCCGCCTCTGAAACTAGCCTTGCGCACCAAACTGGGGCTAGCCAGCCCCGGGTGCATCTGCAGCATAGTCGAGCCACCGGACGCAGTCTGCTGCTGGGGAGATGTGGGTATAGCACCATACGTGAAGGGCCGACTATCCTGTCTGGCGTGGTATGGTATACTTTCGTCAGTTTCTGTATCGTCGATGTAATTTACGTCCACCAGATCATCAAGAACCGTCGACGTATTTGCCACATTTGTACGATCCCCGCCGCCGCCAGGAGCGCTGATGTTAGAACCGTAGCCGTTGTTCAACTGTTTAGCTGGTGGAATGTTGCCACTAGCCGAGCGGGCTGTTGATGGCAGGCTGCTGACGTCACAAGTTGCAACCGAGGGCGGGCTGTGATGCTGGAACGGTTGAGGTGGCTGAAGGTCATCTAAAGTCGCAACATGCCTCGTTGTGGCGAAACTGCGATTGCCATATGGGGAACTGGTTGATGGGGGCAGATCTGGGATATTCTCGACTGTTAACAACATATCGTTAAGGAGCTCGTCTAACGCCCTGTGGTGATCTTGTGGTGAAAGAGGTGTTGTTGTTGTTGATGCTGACGGTGATGGCTGCAGGAGGGAACCGGCGTGGCCGTTGAGGGAACTCAGAGGCGGGGGTGGTGATGTTGAAGACGCATTTGAAGTGTTATTACTGTTGCTGTGATGTAGGTTATGTTTGTGGAGCAGCAGACCGTTCCCGGCGGACGAGATGCCTGAGTCCATGGAGACAGTATGCGGGCTACCTATCACTGCAGCGCCGCCTACAGCCAGCTCCTGCTGAGCGCCCCTAACCGGCGTCTCCTCGCGAGAAACCTGAAGCTGCTGGCGCTGCTCCTGGTGATGCTGTAGTTCTTGTTGCTGCTTCTTCGAGATGGTTGCATACAGAGAACCGTCCAGGGGCCCGTAAGTGTGGCTCACCTCTGCTTCCTCCTCCCCACCTAAAACAAACACAAAGCTTCATTACGGTACTGTTAAATACCTCGGGTCCAGGATGCTTCTGTTTTCGAGAAATCAGTACAGTGGCTGGTTACGGGTTGAACGACCGGGGTCCTTGGCAGGGAGAGATATTCTTCTTTATCACCGCATGCAGACTTAACCGTTCAGGGCCCGGTCCACTGAACACAATATATTCTTTCACCAGTGGTAAAGAGGTCGCGACGTAAAGATGAAAACTCGGCTCTATTTGGTGCCGTACCTCCAATCCCTCTTTCAGAATGTTTTGAACATTTAATGTTTCATATATCAACAGTTGAACGGAAATCCGTTACACGATTTGAGCCGCATAATACTTTCAAATTTCGTCAATAAAGATACAGAAGAGATGTTTGTTACATAATCGCAGTGCTCAGAAGAACTATTAAAAACGCAGTTTATAAATTTACAGGCGAAACGAAATAGTACACAACTTCGTTAAGTACTGAGAAAATTCGAACCACATGACAACTATTTTTCACGTACGGTGAAAATGCTTTTGAATTACGAAAGAAAATGTAGCAATTCTCAGTTGGGATACAAATATTCATGGGCCATAAAGTGTTCATTTATTTAAAAACCATGATATGTTTAATTCTATTCTTATCAGAATTTATATCTAATGTTTAACAATTAAGCAGATATCCAATTCTTTCCAGCTTTTTATTTTTATTGCTACATCCATTATTCTCCCCAAACACAGACGTAAACGCAACATCTTCACAACAGCAAATTCTAGAATAAAGACCAAGGCCATTGTATTCAGTTACATCTTCACCGCTGGGCAACGTGCGGTCCTGAAGCATTACGATACAACATGACCTAGCCCAAACTACATCTCGGTATTGTTCTTAGCATACTGCATCTCTGATAAATGTAAATTAAATTAATTAAATTAAAAATGTAAATTAAATGGATGGAATTAAGTCGAAGGTTGATCATTCTTTAATCCTATATTAACTTACAAAGCTGAAAGACATCGGTGTAACATACCGACACAGATGCAAGGTCACCAATCAGTTACAGCCCACACAAATATGTTTCTAATAAGGACGTCTCACTACTTACTTGCTTTCAAAGGAAATTATTAAACATGACCAGTTAACAGTTGCTGCACTAAAATGGAATAATTTTAAAAGCCCACTAACGTCTTGTATGACCAGCGTGTAGGCCGCGGTACGTGACGTCACTATAGGAGAGTGGGGAGAGCGCCCGGTCTCACAGGGAGGCTGGGTCCTCTCTTTCAATCTCCTTACAAGGCAACTTGCGCGCGACCACCTCTTTTCTCCTCTCAGTGTTTAACCGTGTCTTACCGACTGCCAGCAGTTCTCAAGGCCCGCTAGTATCACCAGATCACCTGCCCAAACACCATAACTCGACACATACCAGCAGTCCTAAACGCGACACGCGTTCCATGCATTTACATGGTGCGCCTGTGTTCACTGTTGCATCCGAACTGGCCCCCTTACAATGCGAAGACTTTAACTTTGTGTTTGGTGGTACACGGTTCGATTGTGAGAACTGCGGGTTCTCACAGGGGTGACTAAAACACTGACTTCTGGGATGTGGCTCCGTGTAGTCTGCTAGATACTCACCGACGTTCCAGAGAACTTCCTGTCTCCATATTCTATCCTGAAGATGCAAGCAGAATGTTTCTCCGAATGTCGGTTATACGGAGTCACATCCAGTCCTAAAGATGGAGGCAGCACGTTCTTCCGAAATGTCGGTAGACATCTACCAGGCTACACGGCGTCACATCTCATCTATCCTGACATTTCTTGTGACTTCCTTAAGATGAACACCAAAATCATACAAAACAGGTCACGAAATAATCAACATTCATGACGGAATTACCACCTCACTTGCAACTATATACGAGTATACTGCAGCCGGGATAATGCAGTCGGGCTGGACGACCGAGGAGTCGGAGTTCGATTCCCGGCAGGGTAAAGAATGTTCTCTTCTCCATGTCGTCCAGACAGGTTCTGGGGCCTACCCAGACTCCTATTCAATGGCTAACAGTAGCTTTTTCCTTGGGGGTAAAGCGTACCACTCACCTAATGCCGAGGTCAAAAAAGTGGACCTATACATTCACTCCCCCATACGCCTTCATAGTGTAGTGTTTAATTGATTAATCAGAGGGGCAACTTTACCTTATATATGTATATATTTCTGGTACTCTTAAGTTTTACAACGTTTGATTCATACAAACAATATACAGCATGCACGTTTCCGTATTTTTCTGTTTCAAATGGTATTAAACATCACTTATTCTAGGAGCTGAGCTCTTCTTCAGGAGCCGCCAATTGTGCAGTTACTCAAGAATTTCTTGTCCGCGTTCACAAGAGCCCGCTACTGGTCCCTATCCTAAGCCAGATCTATCCAATCCATAACATACCATCCTATCTCTCTAAGATCCATTCGTAATATTGTCCAATCGCCTACGCATTGGTCTTCCCTGTGGTCTCTTTCCTTTTGGCTTTACCACCAATATCCTATACGCATTCGTCGCCCTCATTCGTACTACACGCCCTGCCCACCTCATCCTTCTTGGCTTGATCATTCTAATTATACTTGGAGAAGAGTACAAGTTATGAAGCTCCTCATTATGCAGTTTTCTCTAACCTCCTGTTACTTCATCTCTCTTAGATCCAAATATTCTCAACACCCTGTTCTCAAACACCCTCAGTCTACGTTCCTCCCTTAATGTCAGAGAAAAGTTTCACACCCATACAGAACCACAGGCAAAATTACAGTTTTCTATACTGTGATCTTTATGTTTTTGGACAGCAGACGAGAAGACAAAAGGTTCTGGACTGAATGGTAGCAAGCATTACCCGAGTTCAATCTCCTCTTAATTTCCTCCTGAATTAGAGATTACGTCAGTCATAATACAACGAAAGCACGGTTCCTAGGATTTAGCAGAAATAACATCTCATTGGTACGAGTATAAAGGTCCTTAGTCAACTTAGGATCTCTGTAAGCGATTTTTGATTCCTTACCGAGCTCAAAGATATAATCTCTAGTTAGAAAACAGGGCCGTTATATAACCCAAGATTCAATACATCCTTTTATTAAATAAAAAATTCGATACTGGACTGAAATATAACTCCACATTAACAGCAGAAGGAATTACAGTTTATTGCTACTTGTCATGATGATATATGAAATCAAGAGGAGGGGATGGGTAAAGAAGAGCGGTGAGGGGGTGGGACGCGGAGCCACAGACGTGGCAAATTACTGGCACAGAAAAACAAATAAGGCTACTGAAGTGACCTGTAGGTCAATTCGGAATGGGTCAAAGAATATACAGTTTGTCAAACTGTCTGACGGCGGCTTATCGGCTTGTAAAAAGTAATTAATACTGAACAATTCCACTAGAAGCAACTTCTGCGGCACTGCTCTTAAAAGGGTTTCACTTGTACACCATCAAAACACTTCTCACCCGCGGATTTATGGCCCACTTGGCTTTGAACATTAGTTAGTAAAGCTAAAATATACGAAGGACATAGTAATTCATCTCATTCAGGAATAGACTACGCAACATAGAGATTAATAAAGGAATAAATTAAAGTTACGTTGCACCAAAGCCATATTCCAAAATGCACTAATGTACCACACACAGAGTACACAAATACAGACTTTCACTTTTCTTCGAGCTTCGAAATTCTGTTACACTCCTATACCAGTAAAACCAAAAAATGGCTTTCAAATTTATGAAACAAAGTTTACTTCCATATATTATTTAGTTATTTATAAGCAGAAATACCAGTCCTTAGATCGGAATGTGGTTTCTTTTAATGTCAATATCATAGTATACAGTTTTAAAGTAATAACACTTAAATTCATCTTTTTTTTCAATGACTCTACAGCCCTTTCTTGGGCCTTGGCCGCTTTTTCAGTTTCATAATCCTATACACAATCGGTAGGACCCCTTGGATGGGAGATCAGCCCGTCACAAGGCCGTAACGCTTAAATTAAGAAATTAAAATGTATTTATGTAATTAATGAAATGATTAACAATTAGGATTTGAATCACACCCAGAAACTGTACCACGGTAGTTCAACTAGCTACTTCACCTACTGCAGAGGATGAGAAAATCCCGTAATAAATTTGAGAGTTCATCAGGACCAAAGTACGGCATAATGAACAACTATTTACATTTGTATACAAATTAGATATTTTAGTTAATACCAGTATTTGTAAACCTTACCTCTATGATTCGTATATTGCCTATATTGGTACTTCTTCTATGGGGCACGCGGTAGCGTAGTTGGTTGAGGCACTATGCTACAAGCCGGAAGGTCGCGGGTTCAAGTCCCGATAAGGTCATTGGATTTTTTCAATTGACCTAATCCTTCCAGCCGCACTATGACCATGGGGTCGACTCAGCCTCTAAAAGAAACGAGTACTAGGAATATTCTTGGGGGTAAAGGGCGGCCGGGGCGTAGGGCTGACAAACTTACCGCCATCTAAGAACCGATTGTCTAGAAAATGTGTGAACCTCAACATCACACAACCCTATGGGCCTCCACGGTCTGTTACAGGGATAGCTTTACTTTCACTTACTTACTTACTTACTTACTTACTGGTACTTCTTCTAAGCATACACAAAAAACAAAACGTTTTCGGAACGTTGGCCATATTACCAACATGGCGGAAAACGCAAAATGTTAAAAGACTTTCAGCTGCAATAACTATAAAAATATTACGTAGGAATCAAACTCATGTCCTGTCGGTACAGAGGTCAGAACCCCTGACCACAAGGACAACTGCAAGGCTTAATCATAAAATCAGGGGTATCTAATTTCATGAAGCTGAGTCCTTAATAAGCCACCAGTTGCTCAGCTAGTCAAGAAATTCTTAAGGTTCTTTAACAAGAATCTGCCGCTGGCACATACTCGGATGCTGCACCCCATTCCACCCCGCATCCTCAAGCCGTATTCCCTGGAGATGCACTTAACT